ATGTTATTAATTAATTTAATAAGATTTTGAAATAACTTCAAGAATTCCCAGAAAAAGAAAATTCGAAATCTATTTTTAAACTAAAAAATATAATAATTCCATTAAATTTTTGAATATATTAAAAACAGTAGAACGAAAAATCTTATCTAATAAATTAAACAGTCTTAAATGTTTTTGTTATTTCTGAATTTTATATCATGTGAATATCATGTATGCAATTCGTATTCCATTAAATTGAATTTGTTAAATAAATATTTTGACGAGTTTGTTTCTCTTATAATGAGTTCTCACCTGAGTATCTCATACAATTTACATATATATGTAGATATGCAGTTGTTGGTGAGAATCTGATGTCGGTCATATCTCGTGTAATAATAGAAGAAGCCATTTTTCATACAGATCTTTAATTTAATTAATTATTATGATTTAATGAAAAGTAAAATTAAAAAATAAAATAGGAAGGGAGATTCTGAGAGCATAATAACACAAACAAACACTATCTAATACGAAGGAGAGACAGTGAAGCGGAAGTAAGTAAAATGTTGTCCCAGAAAAGTGTGGATGTCGGGAAACCAATCTCTCTCTCTATATATATATATATATAATAGTTTATTTGTGCATTAATGGATAAAAATCTGGAGTTGTTAAATGCAACAGATTTACTTACTTCATCATATATTCTTCTAATGTATATGTTTCAATGTATAAATACCATACCAACAGGATGTTCCGGGTAGGATTTATTTACAGTGCGTACCACCAATTCAATACTGTATATAAGTCAATATATTACATAATAGTATTTGTTTTTTTTTAAAAAAAATATATATATAGATTTTAAGTCAAAACAGATGCTTGAAAAATCACTCATGCATTTAAATCATGTAATTACAGGTAAAACAGGAACCTGGGAATGATTCAAAAGATTGAAGGAATGTGCTTCACATGCAGAAATCAAGTGAGCATGCACCATCTTTCTAAAGTCACCAAGGTAGAAACAGATAATAAAACCAAATAATTATCCTTAACATGACTTTATAGAAATTATTTGATTTCAAATTTGGCAAACTGAAGCCTAACTTTGGGCGAATTCAGAAACTATGGCTGGTCAAACCAGACTATCACCATCTCAAATATGTTTTGCGCATCTCAAAAAATGTACCTGTTCAACGAAGACCATCATTTTATTATACCTGTGTGAAACAGATTACTTGCACAGATAATCTTTACATCCAAAATAATCAGTTTCTGTTTGTATATCCATATGGTACAACATTGACAATTTCACTTCTTCATCAGAAGGACAACCGTGTGAGCTGCAATACTCCGATTTTCACCAAGGCTATCAACCTTCTCATGAGTTTTTGCTTTCAGATTGATGACTGATGGATCTGCTCCCAGCAACTCAGACAAATTGGCTCTGATAGCCTCCTTGTGAGGGCTCAGCTTTGGTCTTTGAAGAATCAAGGTGGCATCCAGGTTTCCAATCTCATATCCTGCCTCATGCATGAGCCTCACCTGCAATATAACATATTATGTATGAGTTCTGTGACATAAATCTTCCGAATTCCAGAACTGCAAGAATAATTAATAGTACACTGCTCCAAGCTGTTGCAGGAGATATAATATTTAGGTAGACAAAATAATCCCTGAATAACAAATGGTGTTGATTTTAGCAACTTATCTGCTGTTTTTGAAGCAGATTGTATTTGAGAATTTAGAGAGAGAAAATTAAGTGAGAGAAAGGCATGAAAACAGACATGCAACTGCCTCTGTTTTCGTATGTTGCAGAAGTAAGAAGATAATTGAAGGAGAATTCGATTGATGTTCATTGATGATTGAGAGCTTTAAATAAGCAAGGTTACAACCGAAAATTCTTACCAGATTAGATAATTTTGGTAGGCTGCATATGTGCATGCAAATACAACTCTCATGTAATAAGATTATCATGTTTATTTTGAATTCAAATTTTCAAAAAATAAAAGCTAATTCTTATCTAAATCAACACTACTCCTTAAGAATTTGCTTCAACTCCCAACCATGATCTCAGGTCTTCAAACTTGCCTTTTCCAACAGCCTTGGTTAAGACATCAGCTAACTAGTTTTTTGAGGAGCAGTGCACAAGCTTTATTTCATGATTTTTCTCAGTATCCCAGATTGCATGGTACTTCACATTAATGTGTTTAGTTCTGCCATACATGACTGGGTTTTTGGCCATTGCGATGGTAGACTTGTTGTCGACAAAAATCTCAGTGGGCAAATTGTTTTTTAGCTTCAAATCCTTCAAAATTTTCCTTATCTATATTGCTTGATTAGCTGCGGCAGCTGCGCTATGTATTCAGCTTCCGCAGTAAATTGAACAACCACTTCTTGCTTCTTCGATGCCCATGAGAATGCGCTTGATCCAAGTGAGAAAACATACCCAGAGGTGCTTCTTGCATCTTCAACAATCCCGGCCCAATCACTGTCCATGTACCCTTGTAGAGTACCACCTTCTGTTGATTTATACCAGATGCCAAAATTAGCAGTTCCTTTGATGTACCTCAAAATATGCTTTACAGTAGCTAGATGAGATTTTCTGGGAGAAGACATGAACCTTGACAACAGACTTACAGAGTACATCAAGTTTGGTATGGTTGCCGTGAGGTACAACAGGCTTCCGATAATGCTTCTATACACATTTTCATCTACCACTTCCTCATCTTCTGCTTTTGATAACTTTGAGTTTTGAATCATTTGAACGGACACAACTTTACACACGTCTAAGCAAAATTTCTGCAAAATTTCTTTTGCATACTTGGCTTGTGAGAGAAAAATGACAGCATGTGTTTGTTTTATTTCCATTCCCGGGAAGTAGCAAGCTTCCCCTAGAGCAGACATCTCAAATTGTTTTTCCAGTTGAGATTTGAACTTCTCTATGTTCAATTTATTACTGCCAGTAACCAAAATATCATCAATGTAAATTGCAACAATTAGCTTCTCACCTTCTGTTTCATGTCTTACGTACAAGATAGCTTCATTTTGGCTCTTTTCGAAGCCATAGTAAGTTAGATAAGCCTCGAGTTTTTTATACGAGGCTCGAGGAGCCTGTTTGAGGCCATACAGGGCCTTTTTTAGCAGATAGACATAATCTTCCTTTCCAGGTACGCTGAATCCTTCTGGTTGCTGGACAAGAATCTCTTCTTCTAGGTCGCCATTTAGGAAAGCTGATTTTACGTCCAGATGCATCACTTTCCACTTGAACTGAGCAGCAATTGCCAGAAGCAGGCGTATGGTGTCATGCCTCGCAACTGGAGCAAACATTTCACCGAAGTCCACACCTGCAAGTTGAGCAAATCCCTTGACTACCAGTCGGGTTTTGTATTTATTCACTGATCCATCTGGATTCAGTTTAATTCTGAAAACCCATTTAACCCCGATTGGCTTTTTTCCTTCTGGTTTAGGAATCAGCAACCAAGTTTTGTTCTTCTCGATCATGCTGATCTCCTCCTTCATGGCATCTCTCCAACTCTTATGTTGCACTGCATCTTCAAAAGAGGTACGTTCAGATGCAGCAAAATTGCATCTTTCATATATATCTGTTAAGGCTCGGAATTTAGTTTGTGAACTGCTTCCTTCATCCCAATTTACTTCTTCTTCTTCTTCAGTTTCCCAGTGAGCATTTGGGAGTCCTGAATTTTGGATCTCACTGCCAGTACCTTTGAATTCACTATCTGCTTCAATTCTTCTTTCTTCCCAGTTCCAGTAGGTAGATTCATCTACCACAACATCCCTGCGAATTATCAACCTGTTAGTGTTTAAGTTGAGAATTCTATAGCCTTTTGATTCTGAGCCATATCCCAGAAACACTCCCAACTCAGCTTTGTTATCCAGCTTCTTTCTTCTCTCATTTGGAATGTGTGAGTAGCACACCGATCCAAAAATTTTTAGGTGTTGAGTAGATGGTTTTCTACCACTCCAGGCTTCATATGGAGTTTGTTTCTCAAGAGCTTGAGTGGGCAAACAGTTTAGCAAATACACCGAGGTGTTTATTGCTTCAGCCCGAAACTTCCTCGGTAGGTGTTTGTCTGCAAGCAGGCTTCTTCCCATTTCAACAACTGAGAGATTTCTCCTTTCTGCAACACCATTTTGCTGAGGCGAATAAGGAACACTCAG